AGAGGATAATATAAAACTTTCTTGATATAATACTTGTTCAACAATCTGATCAGAACATGCAAGTCATGTATATACGTTGGCTTTTTCTTCATGCTTTTCGTATGTGTTTTTCTTATCTTCCATTCTTTCTTTCTTGTTCTCTTTTGTAATGGATACAACAGTACTGCTAGTTTCTGTTACATGGAGTCTAGCTAGCACTGTTATTTCACAGTGGCATTCACTTTTTCTTATTTTAAATTTGACTTTTACTCTCATATAATGATTAGGAAATCCTGTCAAGCTCATGTGTGTTTCACAAAAACTAGTTTCTGAACTCAATCAAATGCTTGTTTTCTCATTCATGCTGCAATTGCCTAATTATTGAATTAAAGTTTCTTATGAGTTGCTGTTTGAAAAGTCTAACAGGTTTGGACCATGAATAGGTTAAAGAATTTTCTGGTGGGTCAAAAGATTCAAATCTAATATTAAATGTATACAGTAGTTTTTAAATATATTGACCTCGTTCCACAAATGATCTATATACAATACACTTTTACTTAGCTCGTGTATTATTCTTGCTGTGTTTTCAGTCTGATTCAGGATGCGCATGGCAAATGCTTGTAATTGAGAGGCTTAAAAAATAGGCCACGAGAAAATGCAAGGTGCAATAAGAACATCAACTTGTTAAGGTATCAACTCTGGCAATCCACGACTAGCCAAAAAGAAGAAGAAAAAAACCCTGAAATTTTCAGTTATAATGGCAATCCACGACCAGCACTTTGCAGTGATGAAGTTCTGTTCAGTTGTGGCCTTTCTAGTTTCTAGACTTCTATATATGTTGTTCCTCTCTTTGGAGAGCTGTTGTGGTGCACAAGGTTGAGCAATTTTATTGCTGTTTTGCGTTTTTCAGGGAAAGAGCTATATCATGGAAAATGATCCGCATGTTGATACTTCAAAAATTCTCTATGAACCTTTACAAGGTGAAGAAGGAAATGACACAGGTGAATTCAGTTCAAATGACAACGTTACTCCTTTTTCCAAAGCAGGTTTTTTTAGCACAATGTCATTTTGGTGGCTGAATTCATTAATGAAGAAGGGTAAAACGAAAATTCTTGAAGACAAAGACATTCCACAGTTGAGGCAGGCAGATCAAGCACAGACCTGGTACTTGATGTCTATGGAGAGCAAATTGAATGAAAAAGGATCATCTAATCCACCTTCAATGTGGTCAATGATCTTTTCATGCAACCAGAAACAAATTTTAATTTCTGGGGTTTTTGCATTGATCAAGGTAATCACAGATTCCACTGGCCCTTTGCATCTTAAAGCCTTCATTGAGGTAGCTGAACGCAAAGCTGCTTTTGCATATGAAGGTTATGCGCTAACAATGGCATTGTTTTTAGCAAAATGTTTAGAATCTATGTCGTAAAGGCAATGGAATTTTCGAACAAGATTAATTGGGGTCCAAGTAAGATCTATGCTGTCTGCAGCTATTTATCAGAAGCAACTACGGCTTTCAAATGATGCTAAGATGAATCATTCTCCTGGGCCTAATATGTTATTAAGAGTCATGTATGTGACAAATGATGATTTTCATGTTATGCTGATTTTATAGATGTTTAATAAAGATTCTTCAATCCCTTTTTTTTCTTCATTTTAGGTATATAACAATTTTAGATGTTAGTTTTTGTCCTTTCACATTCAAATTTAGATAAGAAATAATAATTGTCAAATTATTTCTTTTCTATTAACTTCTATAATAATAAATTCAAACTTTAAATTAATTTGCTTCATCAATATATTATATGCATATAATCATTGAATAAATCTACTTTTATAATAATAATAAACTTGTAATCAGGCCAAATCAATATATATATATATATATATATATTATTTGTTGAACACCCTTCACGCTTTTTTCTTTTCTTTTTATTCAACCTCTAACATATGCCATTATTTGTGTTATCTCTATAAATGATGAATTCAATTAAAAAAAACTCACATACAATTTAGGCTTGGTCTTAGACCATAACATATGGGTTTGAATATGAGCTTTGATTACTATGTACACTATAAAAAAATATTTTTTAAATTAGATAAAAAAAAACAAATAATTTCTCGTAAAAAAATTTCTTGCATTATTTTTCCTTTCATTGGAGTGAAAGATGGCTTTCTGGATCCACCATTTTGCATAGCTTGTTGATTATTATTATTATTATTAAATTGAATTAATTTGGAATTTAAAAAGAAAAAGAAAGATTGAAATGTGTAATAAAAAAGGCAGTGGTTACTTTCAAGATTGACGATTTGCTTTGATATTGATTTGCATGTAACGAAGAAGCTCCAATTGAAGAAAAGCCTTCCTATTAGAACAAATAGTAAAGAAATCAAATAAAAAAACATTTTAAAAACAAAAAACACGCTACCGGTAATTAAAATTATTAAAAAGACACACATGAAATGTTATCAAGAGAAGAACCTGGTAAAAGATATTATTTTAATTTAATAGCTTAAGGTTTAAAAAAAATATAATTTATATTATTCTTTAATATATTCTTTAATATATTTTTTAAAATGAAAAATTTTTATTAAATAAATAAAAATTATAAGATTTAAACTCGTGACTACTTGGTTATTAAAACTTTGATATTATATTAAAAAACAAACTTCATCTAATAATTTAAATTATTAAATAAAATATTAATATATAATTTATATTATTTTTTAACAAATTTTTAGTACTGTGGTCAAATCTATTAAAAATTCAAAAAATAATATATTTTAAATTAATTTTTTAATGTTTTTATATTATTTTAACATGTTAATTTTTAAAAAACATAAAAAAATATTATTTTAATATATTTTTTAAAAATATTTGAAAATACAATTATTATACAACATAAAATATAAAATATGTTACATTTCTTCTTATTTCTTGTACGAAGATGCAAGGCGGGGAGGCCAATCTATCTTTTATTTAGTTTGTCTCTTGTAAATAAGTAAATACGTTTTTCATCCTTTTCTATCCTATGATTGGATAAATAAATCTTAAATTCCAGGACCTCTCTGTCTCCTCTTACGTAGTGAGTAATAGTTTCTTGTGTAGGCCCCTCCTTTTCTAATTCATTCAAGGTTCTAATTCATTCGAGTTTGTCAAATTCCTTTCTAATTGGAGTTTGTTAGTTTAATTGTATTGGTATATTTTGGTTGAGATTATATATATATATATATAATTTTAATTTAAATATATAGATAAAATAACTTAAAATTATAATATTTAAATTTTAAATACAAGTAAAAAAGTAGTAATTGAACTAACATAAGTTAATTGACTTGATAACTTCAAAAATAACTTAAATAACTAATAAAAATATTTTTTAACTAAAAATTATTTTAAATAATTATTTTAAAAAAATATTGAGATAAAAATTTATTATATTGATAAAAATCAAATTAGGTTAATTTTTTAAATTTATACTCGGCTTATAAGACTATAATAACCTAAATTAAATAAATTAAAATAAATTATAAAATTTAATTACCAATATATTTATTATTGAATAAAAAAATTTAAAAAAATCAATCTAGAAAAGAACATAATAAAATAATTTTTCTGAATAAAATTATAAAAATATCATTAATAATCTTATAAGATCTTAATTAAATAATCTTTCTAAATAAAATTATAAAAATATCATTAATAATAAGGTCTTTTTAAACTTGGATGTTCTAAAAATTTAACCTGAAATATAATAATATATAAAGTGACTTATCATAAAAATTTAGTATAATATAATTGTTGAATTAAAAAATATAAGTGATATTGAAAAATTAAACAATATTTCTATAAAAAAACAGAAAAAAGCACTATCTGGCTGTAACGAAATGGCAACGGAACCGAAATATTTGAACCAGGATTTGAATAGAATTTCTAAAATAAAACAAGATTTCAGGTGAGATAAATCTATTCTGATTGACCTTTTTTTTTTCACTATAACGAAATATACCAATGATTTCATACAATACGGAACAAAATTAGCTACCTTTAATTCATTTATCAGTTTTGTGATTTATTACACGACACGACAAGCGAATCTTTTAAAAAATGTTTGTGATAAAGACATTTCAACAACTGACATGATTATCAACGAGATTAGAAGAATTATTTGATCCAGAAGACTGCCCATACAGTAATTCCTGTCCAAAGCCTGGTTCTGACGTTGTGTTTCACGTATGAGTACTGTTCTCTTGTTGCAAAGTTACTGTTAATTAATTATATGAAATATTAAACGCACAGATATTGAGGCAAGCTACCCAGAAAGACTTTTGAAGTTTTTTTTTGGATCAATTAGATAAAGGTTCCATTTGACATATGATGATTTTTGCAAATTAATTTGAGTGTTTTTTTAATATTAGCTTATAAAAAAGACAAATATATTTGGTTAAAATAATTTTTAGATAAAACTTTTCAAAATCACGATTCTATTCGAGTGCACAGGCTAGCCGTGCTGTGTTGTTAATAGTAGTTGTAGGAATCTCAAAACTAGATAGTGAGGTAAATTATTTTTTATTTTTTTGGCTTTTGCTGCATGTTTACATATGTACTGTCGCTTGCACTCTCTTGTTTTCTTTTCTTGCATGAAATAAGTTTCTGCTAGATCAGTAATGGGCTTAATTTCTTGTTTCTGTTTTGCTTCATCTCCTTAAACTCGTGCCAGAGGCGTGCTTGATCATGTTGGTAGCTAGAGAAGACCTTTAATTTTCTGATTTTAATTGGATTGAAAGTCAAGCTCTAAAGCAAGCTCAGGTTTGGGTTCTGAAAACGCTTAACTTGTCAGATAAATTCTGTTCTACTGATACTATTTTGTCAGATAAATTTATACGCATCTGCCAAAAAAATTATCAAATTTAACATCTTACTATCCTCTCTCTTTTTGAAACTCTTTCTTGGCCTCCATGCCCCTTGCTTTCATTTTCTTTAATTTAATTTTATTTTTTTTGTGAAATACATGGTAACTGTTATTATTCTGAAGAAATTCATTTCATTGCAGTTCTTCCACTGATGCTGGTTAAAATCCTACACGATCTGATTTTCACTTCACTTTTCTTTTTCTGTCCATGTAAAATGTTACAGGTTTGTTAATAAAAAGAGATAAAGCATGAAGAACAATCTACGGATTGCATACAGCAATGGCAGGGAACGCTCTAAAAAGGTTGCAAAGAAAATGCAGTGTTCTAGTTTTTTCCCCCACCAAAATGGGTCCGCATTCATGAATAAACACAGTTTCTGTAATTCTCCTGCTACATGTTAAGTGCTAATCTTCTTAACCATCTTCACTTATAATTAATGGGTATTTTGAAAATTTTCATACACAATAAGACATCAACAGCGCCTCGATGCTAATTTTCTCAGTCATTTTCAGTAGTATTTTGGGGCTGGTTAATACTTGTCATTATTCTGCTTTGCCTGTGCATGGATGGATGGTGGTGTTATTCCAAGGCTTCAAATAATTGCTGCCAGAGGGGTTACTGAATCTTTTTCTGTTCATTTCTGGCCTTCTAATTGTTTCAGGATTCTGATACTCTTCCTCTCTTTGGAAGCTGTTCTGTTGTACAGGATGTTGTCAGCTAAAATGGTTTCGAATGATTCATCTTCTCTTGGAGTAATTTTATTATTCTATTGTGTTTTCCAGGGAAAGAGTCCTGTTGCAGAAAGGGATGCGCACATCAATTGTGAAGTTCTCCATGCACCTCTGCTAGGTTATGAAGCCAATGACACTAGTAACATCAGTTCAGATGACAATGTTACTCCATTTTCCAAAGCTGGTTTATTCAGCACAATCTCATTTTGGTGGCTGAATCCATTAATGAAGAAGGGCAAGAAGAAAATCCTAGAAGATGAAGACATTCCTCAGTTACGGCCCGCTGATCAAGCACGAACGTGCTACTTATTGTACTTGGAGCAACTGAGCAAATGGAAAGAAAAAGGATCGTCTGATCCCCCTTCAATGTGGTCAATACTCTATTTCTGCTTCCAGAAAGAAATTGTCATTTCTGGACTATTTGCATTGATCAAGGTATTATCAGTATCCGCTGGTCCTTTGCTTCTTAACGCCTTCATTAATGTTGCGGAACGCAAAAATGGGTTTAAGTATGAAGGTTATGTGCTGACAATGGCGTTGTTTTTAGCAAAATGTTTAGAATCACTGTCAGAAAGGCAATGGTACTTCAGAACCAGACTAATTGGTGTTCAACTAAGATCTATGTTGTCTGCAGCTATTTATCAGAAGCAACTACGTCTGTCCAATGATGCTAAGATGACCCATTCTCCTGGAGAAATTGTTAACTATATGACAATATATGCTTTTAAATTAGGAGAGTTCCCATATTGGTTCCATCAAATATGGACAACATGCCTTGAACTCTGTCTTGCATTAGTTATTGTCTATTATTCTGTGGGGCTGGCAACTGTATCAGCTTTAACTGCCATCATATTGACTGTGCTTGTAAGTTCTCCATTGGCCAAGTTACAGCACCAGTATCAGACAAAGCTCCAGGACCAACAAGATACGAGATTAAAGGCCATTGCGGAGGCACTTGCAAATATGAAGGTCTTGAAATTGTATGCTTGGGAAGCACATTTCAGAAAAGTCATAGAAGGATTAAGGATGGAAGAATTAAGGACACTATCAGTTGTTTTGTTTCAAAGAGGGTGCCATATGGTTTTGTTCTGGTCATCTCCCATATTAGTGACAGTAGTTACCTTTTGGTCATGTTATTTCCTTGGGGTTCCACTCTATGCTAGCAATGTCTTCACGTTTCTAGCAAGTTTGCGGATTGTTCAGGAGCCAATTAGGATGATCCCTGATGTTGCAACAATGTTCATTGAAGCAAATGCTTCATTAGATCGGATTACGAAGTTTCTTGAAGCACCAGAGCTGCAAAACAAAAATAGCAGGGAAACGTACAGTGAGACAGAGCACAACCTGTCCATTGTTGTCAGGTGTACTGAAATTTCGTGGGCTGCTGATTCCTCATCAAAGGCTGCTTTAAAGAATATAGACTTGTTGGTTAAAGCAGGAGAAAAGGTAGCTATCTGTGGAGAGGTTGGCTGCGGAAAATCAACACTTTTAGCAGCTGTTCTCGGAGAAGTTCCACGAATCAATGGCATAGTAAGTCCTGTGATTAAACTACATTCCGTTTGCCAATTCTAATTTTACGTTCTGTCATTATTGATGAACAATTCATAGGGAATCCTGATTGCATTCATATTCATCTTCTTACTTTCATCTATTGATTAAGGAGGATTCATAATTAAAGATCAACAAGATTAAAATTTAGTACATAAATTGCATTTTCTGATGTATTTTAACCGTCAATCAATTAGTAGTCCGTAAATTTGCAAATTCTCAGAAAGAAAGTAAATCCATCGCTTCTGATGTTAGTTTCAAACTTTTATTAATGATGGATATGCCTAACAAAAGATTTTTTACTTAAAATTTCAGGTTTATAAGCATGGAAAAATTGCTTATGTTTCCCAGACTGCATGGATTCAGACTGGGACCATTCAAGAAAACATTCTGTTTGGGTCTGTCATGGATCAAGTGAGATATGAAGAGGTGCTTAATTGTTGCTCCTTGTTAAAGGACCTTGACATGCTTCCATTTGGGGACCTCACTGAAATAGGAGAAAGAGGTGTTAACCTGAGCGGGGGACAAAAGCAGCGGGTTCAACTTGCGCGTGCACTGTATAAGAACGCAGATATTTATCTCTTGGATGATCCCTTTAGTGCTGTAGATGCACATACTGCGGCTAGCTTATTTAATGTGATCACAGATTTCCTCCCTAGTCTACTTGTTCAAGTTATGATAATTTTTCCATGTGGAAACTAATTGAAATGGTTTGATGGCTTTTGGCAGGAGTATGTTATGAGAGGTCTGTCAGGGAAGACAGTTTTACTTGTAACTCACCAAGTTGACTTCCTTCCAGCATTTAATTCTATTTTGGTTAGCTAATAATGAACTTTACTTGGACATATCAGTTTTGATAATCTGTCAGTTTAAGCCATTGGTTCATAATTATGAGTTCTGCATTTTGGGCAGTTGATGTCTGCAGGGGAAATCTTGAGAGCTGCTGCTTTTGATGAGCTGCTGGAAACTTGTCAAGAATTCCAAGAGCTTGTCAACGCACACAATAACACTGTTGGTTCTGAAAGGAATATGGAGCATGCTCGTAGCAGAAAAACAAGAGATTCCAAAGAAGAGATTCAAGAGATTTATCTCAGGGAAAAATCAACAGCACCTTCAGGAGATCAACTGATTAGACAAGAAGAAAGAGAAAGAGGCGATGCAGGTTTCAAGACCTATGTGCAGTATTTGAATCACGGGAAGGCATTTTTGTACTGCTTCTTCACAGTTCTGCTCCATTTCTTATTCATAGTTGGGCAATTGATACAAACCTATTCCTTGGCTGCTGACATCCAGAATCCTCATGTAGGCAAAGTGGAATTATTCACACTCTACTCTGTGATAGGGTGTATCTTGGCGTTCTTTTTGATCTTTAGGTGCCTCTCCCTTGTTAAATTAGGCTACGAAGCCTCAGAGTCTATTTCTTCTAAACTGCTGAAGTCTCTTTTCCGAGCTCCAATGTCCTTCTATGACTCGACACCTCTGGGAAGGATACTTACTAGGGTTAGAATTTTGAATTTGTGATTTAAAATGCTTTTTCTATTACAAGCTTTATGAGATATATAATTTTACTTGTATTGATAGGTATCTTCTGATTTAAATGTCATTGACCTGGAGGTGGCATTCAAATTAATAGTAGCTATTGGGTCAGCTTTGAATGCGTACTCCAGCCTTGCGCTATTGGCTGTTCTTACCTGGCCAGTCTTGTTTCTCATCGTCCCCTTAGTTTATCTAACTATCGCCTTACAGGTATTACTTCCTCTAGCACTAAACCTTGTTGCATGGTTCTCTGATTTGACTTTTTGGCCTCCCTGACAGAATTACCTTCTTCTTTAAAAAAAAATTACAAAAAGAAATATTACTTCAGTACCGCGACAGAGTTGATGCGAATCAATGGCACAACTAAGTCTTTGGTTGTGAACCACCTTGCTGAATCCATTGCTGGAGCCATGACGATAAGAGCTTTTGGTGAGGAAGATAGATTCTTTTCAAAGAATCTGGACCTTATTGACGCAAATGCCAGTCCATATTTCCATAGCTTTGCAGCAAATGAGTGGTTAATCCAGCGTCTGGAAATACCATGCATAATTGTTCTCTCGGCCTCAGCACTTGCCATGACTTTGCTTCCCCTAGGAGCTTCTGCAGGAGGTAAATTTTGACCTTCACACTATTTATCTGGTTTCTTTATATACACAATTCTAAAAACTGAGCTCACTTAAATTTTCCTCACCATTTCATATGATTTAGTTTTGTTCTCGTGCACGTTTATTTCAATGTCATCACTCTTTCAGCTTCTGGATGAAGTATAATTTCAGCTGACGAACATTACTTAGCGCCTCGCACTTTGTTATGCTAATCTAGGTTTTCAGTCCCATTGTTTTTGCATCTATCTCAATTTCGGATTGTTAATTTGGACCTCCTTTTCTGTTTCTCATGATCCAGATGACCTCGCAGTAACATCAACTTATAATAGAAGCTATCCTTCTTATTAGTCTTTTGTGAACGCATATAAAACTCTTCTAGCTATTCTGCTAACAGTTAAATACATAAGAAAAGATCATAATTCTCCAAAGCATGAAATTTTCTCACCTATCGTCTGATAAGAATCAAAAATTAAATACTAAAAAAAATGGTGGTGTTTGAACAAAACCGATGGGTTATTGTCTAATGGGACATTTTGGTTGTCTACTATTTGATTGCAGGGTTTGTTGGAATGGCATTATCGTATGGTCTTGCAATAAATGTCTTTCTCATCCTCTCTGTCCAATACCAGTGCTTTGTAGCAGAATCAAATGTTTCTGTAGAAAGACTAGAACAGTTCATGCATATTCCAAGTGAAGCTCCAGAAGCAATAGAAACCAACCGACCCTTGCACAACTGGCCAAGTGTTGGTGAAGTGGAGATTCGCAATTTGAAGGTAGTTTTTACAATTTCACAAATTCACAAATTTACAGGTCCTGACCTTCCAATATATCAAATAACATCAAGCAGGTGAGATATCAACCCAATGCTCCATTTGTTCTCCAAGGGATAAGCTGCTTCATTGAAGGAGGACACAAAATCGGGATCGTTGGTCGGACTGGTAGTGGAAAGACAACACTTATTAGTAGTTTGTTTCGATTGGTGGAACCAACAGAGGGGAAAATCATTATAGATGGCCTTAACATCTCCACAATTGGTCTTCATGATCTTAGATCCCATCTTGGCATCATTCCACAAGATCCAACACTTTTTAGCGGGACTGTGAGATACAACCTGGACCCTCTATCAGAACATACTGATATAGAAATATGGGAGGTAATAAAGCTTCTACTAATTGTGTCAACATTTGGTAGAGATTCAGAAATACTATTTCCAATGTGCGAACTCCAAAGTTTGATAGTGTCTAGCTTCCCATATTGCTTTCCTAACAAAAAAGTGTGCTCATGATTTGCAAAAGGTTCTTGAAAAATGTCAGCTCCGAGAGGCCATTCAGCAGAAAGAAGAGAGCCTAAATGCTTTAGGTAAGGCAAATCTGGATGTCTAGAGGTAAACATTTCTTGGTCTAAGAACCTGCACGTTTACATCTTTTATCGCAGTGGCACAAGATGGATCAAACTGGAGCATGGGACAGCGGCAATTATTCTGTCTCGGACGTGCATTATTGAAGCGGAGCAAGATATTAGTCCTAGACGAAGCCACTGCATCAATCGATAACGCAACAGACGCCATCCTCCAGAAAACTATACGCACAGAATTCGCAGACTGCACTGTAATAACCGTGGCTCACAGGATACCTACCGTGATGGACTGCACCAAGGTGCTTGCCATTAGTGATGGTGAGTGGTATTTCCTTTATTCGCCTTTTTGATATGCTACAAGCACCGTGAAACATATAACCTCATTACAGAAAATTAACTGGCTGGGGGTAGGTCATGCCAGAACTTGGGATCGGTGAGAGACAGCATTGTTTTACTAAGAGTAGCATTTCTTTATTAAATGTAACAATTTTTTTATTTTCTTTAACCTGTGCGAACATAAGGTATGCAAATGAAAGGGTTTCATATTAACAGGGAAGATGGTAGAGTATGACGAGCCAGGGAAGCTGATGAATAAAGAAGGATCACTATTTGGGCAGCTGGTGAAAGAATATTGGTCTGGTGCTCCAGGCATTGATGACTAGCAGTATTTTTGTGAAGATCCATCAGGATTTGAAAGTGGAATGGACTAGAAGTTTTTAAGTCAGCATGTTGCCTTGAATGCTTTATTTAATGATGTGTTCCATTTTTCTTCATGTTTAATTGATTACTGCTATGCAATTAATGAACTAGCACGGATGTCACTATTTATAGTAACCGTGAAGGTGCCCTTTAGCTCCTTAATTTATTGTTGTGCTTTACCTTTATTTATTTATTTTTAAATCTTTTTATTATCCAATTTTATGAGATATAGTTTGAAATTGTAAAGGGAAGAAAAAAAATAAGAATGAGAGGAATAAACTATCATGGAAACTTATCTTGAATTCATGAAAAAAGTGTTTTTCTGGTCCATCTAATTTTCTTTTTTCTCCAATTCAGAATTTTTCTTTTGATCTAAAAAATCAATTTATTTATTTCATAATCCTGAGTTGAAGAGAGAAAAGATAAATTTACTAGAAAACAACAAGGAAGAAGAGATAAAGTTATTGGTTGATTATATTTATTTAAAAAAATGATCTTTAATTCTTTATGTTAATAAAGTCTTTGTTGCTCTCTAAACATGCCGGCGAAGTAAGTATATCGAGATTTATTGAATTTTTATAGCTCAATTGATTTTTATTTTTAGAGAGTGATTTTATAGGGTTTGGGCGGGCTAGATTATATTATGTTTTTAAAATATTTTTAATTTAAAAGGCTTTAAAAATTAAAATTTTAAAATCTAAAATCTTGAATCCTTATTAATCAAAGATGACTGGGCAAGTTGATAACAGGTTGCTTGTAGTAGAAAAAAAAACAGATCACATGTCATTCACTGCCCTCCTGAGAAACGAAAAAAAAGAAGCATGGGCTTTGGCTTTCTGGCACGGGTGCGGCTCTGGGTTTTTTATTAAGGCTTGGTGTGAATGCCTTGCCTCTTTTGTTTTGTTTTTATTTTTATCTTTTTTATTAATTGTTTCTATTTAAATATTAATTGATACCCTCATTTTAAAAAAAATTGAATTAGTTTTGTTTCTAAATAGTGGTTCATTTATTTTTTTATTTTTTTAGTTGCATAATACTTCAAATATATTTGTTTGATATGCTTTGATTTTTTTATATCAATTAGATGTATTTGTATAAGGTTTTTATAATAACATAAATCATTTAATTTTTTAACCACCATTCTAATGGTTGAGAATTAGGCAAGCAAACAGCATGTCTTCTATTTTTATTTTTTATTTTTTAAAAAAAGAGTGGACACCATTATTTGTCTTTCCTTGGCTATTTTTTTTTTATTATCACATGATTGTATAGGAAAAACAAAAAACATTTCAGTGTATCATTCATATATTTTTAATACATTTGTGACATAATAATAAAAACATTAATTTTTTTAAAATAAATTGCTTTTATAATTCTGATAATTTTTTGCTTCAACAAGTAAACATTTAGATACAAAGAATGCCAAAAAAAGGAATTGAAGAGATGTGTTTTTATCTTTATTTTGGATTGTTCTGATTTTTTGTAATATTTATTCTAATCTTCTATGGTTTTTATTAAATGAAATATATTGCTGAAAAAAACTATATTCCTTTCCTTGGCCGAGAAAAATAGATTAATAAGTAGATGAAGGGTTATACTAACAAATTATCCTATTTCAATATAATTTAAATTTTTTTAATAAGAAATTATTGGCATATAATTAAATAAATAAATTTAAATAATTCCTCATGACACAAGATTATGTAATTTAATCTGTATTTATTTATTAACTTTTCAATTTAGTCTTTGATTTATATCAATATTTTTTATAATATTTATTTTTTTTATATTTTTTAATTTATTTGATTAAACACATGCATCAAAGTTTTTCAAGCTAATAAACAAGCCAAGATGCTTGCACTTTCCTTTTTTTAATCCAAATATATGTTTGCTAGTTTATCACTACTTATTTGTTGCTTTGTTTTTTTAAAGGAGTAGGGTTTAGATATATGGCTATTTGAAAACATGGTTGAAATAATATTATTTAAATTTTTTTATTTTTTTATTTAGAAATAATTTTTTAAATAATTTTGATATATTAATATTAAAAATATTTTAAAAAAATAAAAATATATCATTTTAATATATTTTCATTTTAAAAAACAACTTCCAACTGCTTTTCTTCGTGAAGCTATTTTTTATATTGAAACAGTTAATAGTGAAGTGTATGTGTTATAACTACAACTATAAAATTTCTATATAATATCTTATTAGATATAAAAGTAGGTAATTTTTTTTTGGTTTTTTATCCAATTTCAAAATAATATGAACATAATTATAATTATAATTAAATTAAATTTTTATAATGATTTTTTTTATAATTATAAAATTAACTTAGAGATAATTTTGCATATGGCTAAATAAAAAAATAGGTGCATGTGTATGACACTCAGTTATGCATTGGAGGCTCTCACGCTTTTTAGACGATCTGAGTGGTCCCTTACATAGCCCAAAAATACTCTTCTAATGTGTCGTTGGAAGAGCTTTAATGTTTTTATTCTATTGGTGCGATGTATGTAAATGTTAGTTATTCAGTTTGCTATTAGTAGATTTTTTTTTCCTCTCCCCTCCTCAAAAATTATAAGTTAATCATTTTTAGTTGTTGGTAATTCAACTTCATTTCTTTTTATTTTGATTTCTATTTTTATTTTGGTTTTTTTTTATAAGTTTTTTTTATTTTTAATTTTATTATTAAATATTATATTATTTAATGTTGTCCTCATTCTATGGATTATAATTTTTTTCTTGGCACTTTTGTAAAACTTTTAATGGTTTTGATTTTATTATTAAATTCAAATTGATAGTATTATATTTTTCAATTTGATTCTCATTGTTTTGATTTCTAATTTATTTCTTGACTATTTTGTAAACATTATTATTCGTTTTCAATTTTACCCTTTCATTACAATATTATTTTTATTTTTATGTCAATTTTGATCATCATTCTTTATATTTTTTTTTTATCTTTTTACTAAAAATTTTTTCAATCTCACCATTGATATAAATATAAAATTAATTTTTTTTAATTTTATTATTTAATATTTAATTAATTAAAAATTAAATTTTAAGATTTTTTTTTTATATTAGATGCTTCGACTTTAATAATTTGGATCACAGGTTTGAAAAATTAATTCACATATTTTTTTTAAAAAAAATTTATAATTCTTTTAATTTTTTAATTATATTTTTAAAATATCACGATCTAAATATTGGGTTTGATAAAATATATCAAATTATCTCAATTCTAATTATCAATATTATAAGTCTATCATATCTAATTTTTCATGTGATTTTTTAATTTTATTTTAGCATATAAACATCAAGGAAAAGCACAAACACCAATGCTAGTATTATCAAATTTAAGTTTTGTGCTGTATTATTTTATGAATTTTTCTTTTACTTAGCTTGCTTACCCCTAAAAAAAAAACATAAAAAAGCGATACATCTTTCTAACTACCCCAAAATGACACCGTTCAGAGCACACCAGATCGCCCACCTACCCATTAATCCATCCATCCAGTGGCAGCAGCCCCCTAGGAATCATCGACAGTCACGAAACCCTCTGCCTGTCACCTTAGCCTCTTAATCTTTCGCTATCTCGACGAGTCCGTTACATTTCCCCTTCTTTAAGAAAGAAAATATCTCCCTTCTCCCCCGCATTCACCAACGCCATTTCTTTCATTCGCTTCTTTACTCTCTGTCTACCATGGACGCCTCTACTCTTTCACGCATAGGCCTAGCAGGTCTAGCCGTGATGGGTCAAAACTTAGCCCTAAACATTGCTGAAAAAGGTTTTCCAATCTCAGTCTATAACCGAACAACTTCCAAAGTCGACGAAACTCTTATTCGTGCTCAATCCGAAGGTCCATTCTCCTTAACTGGTCAATACTCTCCTCGTGATTTTGTTCTCTCAATCCAAAGGCCTAGATCCATCATCATCTTGGTCAAAGCTGGAAACCCAGTTGACCAAACGATCTCTGCTCTGACTGAGTTCATGGAGCCTGGTGACACTATCATCGATGGTGGGAATGAGTGGTACCAGAATACTGAGAGGAGAATTCAACAGGTGTCAGATAAAGGGATTCTTTATTTGGGCATGGGGGTTTCCGGTGGCGAAGAAGGTGCAAGACATGGGCCTTCGTTGATGCCTGGTGGTTCTTTTGAGGCGTATAAGAATATTGAGTCTGTCTTGAAGAGTGTTGCTGCTCAAGTTGATGATGGTCCTTGTGTTACTTATATTGGCGAAGGGGGTTCTGGAAATTTTGTTAAAATGGTTCATAATGGGATTGAGTATGGAGATATGCAGTTGATATCGGAAGCTTATGATGTTTTGAAGAATGTTGGTGGGCTTTCGAATAGCGAACTGGCGGAGATTTTTGGGGAGTGGAATAGAGGGGAGTTGGAGAGCTTCTTGATTGAGATTACGAGTGATATTTTTAAGGTCAAGGATAATTTGGTTGATGGGGATTTGGTTGATAAGATATTGGATAAGACTGGAATGAAAGGGACAGGGAAATGGACTGTTCAGCAAGCTGCTGAATTGTCTGTTGCTGCACCGACGATTGCTGCTTCGTTGGATTGTAGATATTTGAGTGGTTTGAAAGAGGAGAGGGAGAGTGCGGCGGAGATTTTGAAGGAAGCTGGGTTGGAGGAGGAAGTGGGGAGTGTTAAGAGTGGGGTTGATAAGAAGAGGTTGATTGATGATGTGAGGAAAGCATTGTATGCATCTAAGATTTGTAGTTATGCTCAAGGGATGAACTTGTTGAGGGCTAAGAGTGTTGAGAAAGGTTGGGATTTGGATTTTGGTGAGCTAGCTAGGATTTGGAAAGGTGGGTGCATTATTAGGGCTGTGTTTTTGGATAGGATTAAAAAGGCTTACCAGAGGAATCCTAACTTGGCAAGTTTAGTTGTCGACCCGGAGTTTGCCAGGGAGATGGTGCAAAGGCAGGCGGCTTGGAGGAGAGTTGTGGGGCTGGCGATTTCAGCTGGAATTAGCACTCCAGGAATGTGTGCCAGTCTTGCTTATTTTGATACTTATAGGCGTGCTAGGCTGCCAGCAAATCTTGTTCAGGCTCAGAGAGACTTGTTTGGGGCCCATACTTATGAGAGGACTGATCGTCCAGGGGCATTTCATACTGAGTGGACAAAACTTGCTCGCAAGAGCAA